TAAAGTTACATCTGCCACAGGAAAGGTTCTGTAGTAAACTACCTTGGAATTTTTGCTTTGCGTGGATCTCTATAATATAAACTGTCCCCAGTCTCCTCCCTCTCTAGAAAGTACAGGATATCCTTCATTGCATAACCACATCTTGCAAATTTACTGGCTGCCTTCTTCCCCCCAGATGTATGCTTTGGTGTATACAGTGGAACTAAATCACAGTACCACTTGCTCAGGACTCCTTGTGACCTGTGCTAGAGGTTTATGCAGTCATTCAATGAACACAAACCAAAACATTTCTTCTGCTGGTTTTAAATTTTGAGAAAAAAGTTTCCCCAAGTTTTTCCTCCTTGCTTCTACACAGAGCCAGAGGTGGGCAGCAAATGTTTGTCTCGTGATTCAATAAATGTGTCACTCTTAGCATTTACCCAGTATCCAGGGACTCATGATTGCCAGAACTGCTTAGAAGCAAGTTTAGCTCTTGTAATTATATAGCTAAGGCAAATTCTTTAATTCAAACTTGTCTGCTTTGAACTTGCTACTTAACTGTGAGACTTGAGATACAGGTTAGGATACAGTCAGAATACCAAACCTTGGAACCAATCCATGAAATAATTGTTTAGTGAAAATAAATATTTCAAACATTTTAATTTTTTGAAGGATTTGAAAATTAATGTGCTACATTTTCCTGTACTCTGATTTTTTAAATATACTTGAATGTCAATCAAAACTTACCAAATTCTACTTTAACATTTGAAAGACCAAAACAGCAGTCTTACATTATGCTTTTGTATTTTATGGGAAGAGTTCTTATTTTATTCAGCACTACTGAATCTTTATCATAATGTATAAATTAGTGTGTATATTACCACCTCAGTTAGTGTTAAAAGTGTCAGACATCAAAACATTTATTTGTGACCAAAGGTGATTTTTCTTTTCATGGACCAAAGGATGGGTTACCTTCCAGGACATGAAAATGCTTTTGGACATCTCCTGGAACTCCTCCCATTGGTTCACAAACACTCTTGAGGGATGGTTTTTAAAGAGCTTCCTGTCACTTCTCATAGTTTATAAATAATCCAGTCTAAGCTCCATGGAACATAAACAGTGGATTCCCTTGCACTCTGACTCAGGTCTAGGTATCAAGTAATTGCTTACTAAATAGTAAATAAAGGTATTTTGATTTGGTTTCTGTGAATATATACCCTTACTTTCTGTCTTCATTTTCAAGTATCTACAAGGCACCTATTGGACTGTTTTTATTAACCATAAACCTAGTTCTCTAAGATTACTTTGTCTGTGTCACATCTCTGAAAACAAATGATCTTCTGTAGAATAGGGAACACTACATCCCCTGGATGTTGGCAGGTGTGTTAGTCACTTTTCACAGCACTGATACCTGCAACTTAAAGGAGGAGAGGTTTTTTTTTAATTAATGATTTTGAAAGGTTAAGTCCATGACAAGCTGACTCCAAAACAGAAAAAGCATCATGCTGGAAGGCCTTGGTGGAAACAGTTGTTAATGGCAGCCAGGAGGCAAGAGAAAAAGAGAGAGAGAGAGAGAGAGAGAGAGAGAGAGAGAGAGAGAGAGAGACAGAGAGACAGAGAGACAGAGACAGAGAGACAGAGAGAAAGAAAGAGAGTAGGGAACTAGACTCAATCCTTAGTGTATCAGCTGTTAAAGGCAATAGATTGGTTTCTCCTATACCCTTCCAAGTCATACCATTAATGACCCTCTTTCAACCAGGCCTCACCTTTAACACCATATTCAGCTATGAACTCATTCATGGATTGATCCACAGCAAGTATAGAGCTCCTATGATCCAGTCACTTTCCAAACGTCCCACTTTTGAACACATGACAGTTTCAGAGAATATTTGGGTTCTAAACCAAAGCAGCAGGTATTACAAGATTCTCAAATAAGCTGGCCCTTCCTACCACACACTGTAAGGGGTAGGCTTAGACATCTACCTATAGGGCCATTTTTCCCTAAGGGTATTTTTGATCAATGCTGATGGTCCATAGCCACACAGAGGTCCTTTCTGCCTCAAGTTTCATCTTTTCTGAAGAAAGAGAAATATTTTGTTTGATACTTCGTGAACATATTGGAATCAAGTAAAAAATGCCCAGAAGCACTTGGAAGTACCTAATGGAAATACAATCCTTTCCTGACCTGCAGCATTTTCTTTCTTAGTGAGTCAGCTGTTAAAGGCAATAGACTGGTTTCTCTCCTTTGAAAATCTTTCCTGTGTTTATAGATAGTACCAAAGAGACCCTCTAACTTATTCTCTATGAACCCAAGATCTATTTTCCTGAGCTGTATCTTATTTCACTCACATTGGCCTAAGGTTTTTTTTTCCCCCTTTATTTTACTACTAACTCAATGATTTAGAAGTTAGAATTATAAGATTTTATTTTTATTGCAGAAGTAAGATGGAAGAAGACTAAGGAAATCATTTTATATAAAACCATACATAGGTATATTTCAATACAGCTAGAGAAAATCTCTTTGGCTGAATACTATAATTTTCTTGTAAAGTCAATGTAAGTTTTAAATGAGTGCTTTAGAATTATGTTCTAATAAAGCCAAGCATTTTATATTATGGAGAAAGTATTAAACCTTAGTACCATAATTACTTAGCATGCCCTTGCATTTCTTTAAAACATGTTCTTCTGACAACAAAACTGATAGTTGTTTGTTGTCAACATGGAAAGTATTTTAAAATACAGAATGTAAAAGAAAATAACTTGCAATCTTACCACTCAGAAACCAAGCTCTGTTACCGTTTATGTATGTACACACGTAAAAAGTCATACGTGGAATTTTGTCTATGCATAGAACACACTTTTTTAAAAAATCCTACATGAATGTTATTAAGCAGGCTTTTTGAATCTGTATCAACATGCTGTTGTTATCTGGTAGCAGAAACTTTGACTCGAGCAAATTTGAACATGGCTGATATGTATTATATGATGAAATAGAACATAAGAGATAGGGTGAACTGCAGGATGGATGTTTCATTGATTATCAAAGACCGAAGTACTTCACATTCTCTGATACCAGTATTGTCAGCTTCATGCTGAGGTTGTTTCCCTCAAGGCCATAAAATTGCCTCCATTATTACCTGGGACAAAATGACCACAATCCAAGCCTGCTACTAGAACAGACAGCCACTTCCATTGTAGCTTTGTGGGGCTGAGGCAACATGGTCACTGCACATCACTAAAAAATAAAAATGTAAATCTGTGCAAATTCTCTGCCTGGTGAATTGGGTATGCTGGGTGAAATATAGTCTTGAAACACCAAAGGATCTTTTAGTCTATACTCTTATTTCCCAAACACAGAGATGCAGTGAGTGAGATGTGGCATTCTAAAGGGAACTGTCACTAAAGGACAGTCCCTCCACAGGGAAGAATGTTGTATGTCTGTTTTCTGATCCTCATCAGAGCGCTTCCAGAGTCAGACAGCCATGCCAACCAAGTGACCTCTCATGAAGAATTTGGTTTAATAGCAAGCTTTCCCTTTGGACAGCTTTTTCAAAAATCCTTGGTTTTTATGCATTGTATAAAATTATCCTAAGAAATGACTGTTCACTCAGGGTTCCCATAGGACATAATACATTTTAGGTCTATAGCTAACTTATTTCATGTCTTATTTAAGAAAATTTCCCTATTAGGAAGTTTTCAGTTTTTAGATGCATAAAAATATTTCAAAAGAATTTTACTCTAATTATTTATGACTCCTTTATAGGTTCTTTTATAGAACCACAGAAATTGTTCCATTTTATTTTAGTATATGTTATACTGGCACCTAAAATTAAATATGAATATTTACTACACATGAAGTTACACATTTAATAGTATAATTTTAAAACTAGATACATAACTTTGGCTTTAACATTTGATTTTTATAATAGTGATTTCAAATATGCCTATTAATTCTCAGAATTAGTCTTTTAAAATGTCCACTAATTCTCTGTATTATTTATCACATTGTTTCAAGAGTATTGAAAATTTAAAGGCACATAAAAATAAAAATACTAAGTTTTACATCTATTAGGGTTTTATTTTAAGCTCTTTTTCTTTGTTTTTAATTTCTCTACTTGTTTAAATCGATCTTCATAAAAGAAACTTTATTACTAAAAAAGGCACTGTAAAAATGCTAAATCTTTGGAGAATGTTTACTAAAAAATTAATTCCCTAGAAAAAGATTTTTTATCCAAATCTTCCTAAACAGAGGACTTTTACAAAGGAAACTAATTTTTAAAATGAAAATAAAATATTTAAATGCATTCATCTCAATTTTCAGTACTGATAACTATGATTTAGGAAAAGAACCTATTTTAGTGATGTGCAGTGATGGTGTCCCTCGGCCCCTGGCTTTGCCCCCACTGGTTGGCATGGTTGTCTGACTCCTTGTCCTCATCATCCTCCTCCTTTCCCTCCCCCTCCCATTCCCCCTTCCTCCTTTCTCCTCCAAACCCTCCTCCCCCCTCTCCTCCTTTTCCTTTCCTTCCTCCCCCTGCTCCCCTGCTTATCTTCTCCCTCTCCTTCTCCCTCCCCCACCCCCCTCCTCCTTCCGGTTTGAGATGGGGGTCTCCTTATGTAGTTCAGGCTGGCCTTGGGCTCACTTTGTAGCCCAAACTGGTCTCAAACTTGCAATGATCCTCCTGCCTCAGCCAGCCTCCTGAGTGCTGGGATTACAGGCTTGCACCACCATGCCAAGCCTTCACCACATTCTTAAAGTTGACCTGTCCATTGTTTTCTGTTCTTAAGATAAACAAAACAAAAAGAACACTCCAGGTACTCCTGCATAGTTTGCCTAATAAATTAATTTTGTCTTAAAGTTGGCCTATCCATTGTTTCTGTTCTTCAGATTGTAAAAAAAAAAAGAAAGCAACAAAAATTCCAGGCATTTCTGTATAGTTTGCCTAATAAATTAATTTTGTTTTATAAATGAGGAGTTCCCTGGAGCAGTTTTGACTGTATCTTCTGCTTCTCTGAAACAGAGCCATCACACTAGAGAATCAGCTGGTGATCCTTTCCACAACAGCGAGTGATGCTGGGGCTTACTACGTGCAGGCCGTCAACGAGCGGAATGGGGAAAACAAGACAAGCCCCTTCATTCATCTGAGCATAGCAAGTGAGTCTGGACACTCCAAATAATAATTGTGAAAGAAAGACAGTCTTTTTGTAATTAATAAGCATTTTCTGATTTTGCAGTGAATCCGCTTTCTTTGGTATAGTAGTTATGGCTTAATATGGGCCCAGTGTCAATGGCTTGCAGAGCTTCAGGGCTGTTGCTTCTTTTGAAACAGTTTGCAGAAAATAAGAATCTACCTGATATTTATTAAATGCAAGTTCTTATTTGTTCTGTGAGTTTAAAACATTTCTTTTGTACATTGTTAATGTGTATTGTTTTTAACAAGAAAATCATTTGACTTTCATGAATTGTTTCTATGAACCTTGTTTGAGACTTACTATGTTATTTTACTAAAAATAAGAATATGTACATATGTAAAGCCATGGTAAAATGAGCAGTATTTAACTATAGTTAGTTGATTATTTTTGCTGCATGATTTAACTAAAAACCTGAATCATTAAGAAAATACATACAAATGTAGTGGTAAGGATGGTCCATTTTAGTCTGATGATACTAAATGTTTGGTCTTTGAAATCCTACCAGTGCAAGGGAATTTTTAGAGAAGAGACAAATATCCAAAAACAAGAATATTACTAGATTGGGAGTCGTCTCCAGGTTCTTAGCATCCTAAACAAAGAACTGAGGAGGACACCCTAGGATCAGTGATTTATCTGAAAGAGAAAAGACACGATACACCCCATAGGGTGGGAACAGGCCAATGAGAAGCACCTACAGGACTGAGGGGTTTGGTGTTGTGCATTTTAAACTTTAGGATTTGAGATGGGATTGAGGATTTGGTCTGAGGTATAATTTCTGCCAATGAGTAGCTTCCACCCCTCCGTGAATGGTGGCAGTTTTGACTTTTTTATGGGCTTTGGAAGAACTGTCAGGATGTCCAAAACCCACAGGAACATCAAGTCTGCCTAGTCAATAACATGGTATTAAGGGTCAGGAAAGAGTTGCAGAATACCACTTGTTGCATGCTCAAGGGCTTATTATCTATAAGAAAAGCTACCTGGTTACTTTTTCCCATTGTGTTTGATCCTACACTAATATTTAACTCAGAAGATGCATCTAGTTACAGAAGGCAGATCCAAGGTGGACTCCCCCTTTTTACCAGCTGTTTCCTGGTTTACCTTGACTCAGATCTCGCCAAGAAAGCAGGCTCTGAGGTGGGCCAGGTCTCTCTTCTTCAGCCTTTTCCTTAGCCACCTCCTGTTTCAAGAACCCCGGACTATTCTAGATTGAAATATGTATATTAGAGGGCGTGTTGTCAAATATTGGCAGCTTAGTGCTTTGTAGAATAAAATGCAGGTGTGCTATTGAGAAAATACAATTGGAAAATAGTCATGGTTGATGGTAAATTTCAAAATATTATGTCACATCATATGACAGTGAATTATATTGACTTGTCTTTGTAATGAATTTCATCTTTTGGAAAACTTTAAGGGATGGTTTTCCCTTCAGGCAGTTTAGAAAGTGTTGGGACAGAATAGTAGTGTTGCTTGAAGTGGTTCCTTGGGACAGTTGCCCTGGTTCAGGGTGAAGGTTTGTAGCAAACAATGAATGCTGGATTGTGTGGATTAACTGAGTGCATCCTCATCCTCACTTGCCCCATACATCCTGTAAATAACTGATCAGTACTGCTGTGCTATGCTGTCATCCTGTCAGCAGCTCCTTCATTCCAAGGGATTGAATTCTACTGTCCAGACCACAAATTGGGCAGATTCAGGTTTAGCAAGACCTTTCAATGCTTTGGAGAGTTACGCCCCATGATGAGATGGAGAGCTCTCAAAATCCAGAACATGATGCCTTGCAGTTTAGAGGACTACCTGAATAAGAATTGTAGTTAAAATGAATATGATTTATCAAGGTATTTTCAACAGAGATAACAAAGGATGTAAATTGTATGATCAAGTAATTGTGGTTATTTTTAATGATTTCCAAATTTTACAACTAGAGCCATTTATACTATCTAGCAAATCTCATTTGTACTCAATTGTGATATAAATAGGGTAATAATAGTTAAATATGGAGGAATTCTGGGTCAGAAACAAGGGAATTAGCTTAGTTGGTTAGAGGAGGGGAAGAAAATAATTCCACAAAAATTCTGGTTCACTGGATTTTAGCACCACAAAGTTATAAATTGGTTTGCACATAGTAGTTTCCTATAAGCTATTCTGATGGCCAGTAGAAAACGAAGCCTAGTACACTGAGTTTGGAATTTCCCATATGAATGCAACATTGTGGTATTAGATAATTGGTTATGTAAATTTTTTCAATAATTTCAGTTTCTACCCCAAACAAAAGTTGTATTGAAAGCTGCTCATAAATATTATAATTGACTGTCTACATTTTCTTCTCTCATATATTTTTATCTTTTTATTGGCACCAGGTAAAATGTGTAAAAGGTAAACCACAATGAGGTTGATGATATGGACATATTTTAAAGCTTAGGAGAAAAAAAATCTACATTTTTGTTTCTGTGTATATTCTTTGCTTTTTATCAAGACCACATACAATCTGAGAAGATGGTTGAAATACTTTATTTTAATTCTTCAGAGAACCTTCCTGTGACATATTGGATTTAGCTAAATGTTAAGTGTACTAATTATGCATTTCCCAACTGAAAGTTCTATTTTGAAAACCTCTAAAGATCAGAAGTCTTGAAAAACCTACAAAAGCCCTCAGAGTTTTGTGTTGAAATGTGGCTGTGCTCTGGCGTGCAACTTGTTTGAGTGTGGAAGCATCCTGCGAGGCTATCAGCTCCCTGATCCATTGTGAAATTAGGTGTTCTCAGAACCCTGGCACGCTGAAGCAAGACCTACTGTGTCCATGGCCTTAGACAGCTCCCCCGACCCCACCGAGGTGGGTTTTTGTAAAAACATCAACAAGTTTGATGAAAATTTAAAAAATCTTGCCAGCCAGCATTTCTGAAAAATCAAAAGACATTATATCCAATTATCATTTAACGAGGATAATTTTTTCCTTGGTGCCAGGAGAATAAAGTAGAGGACCTTTGTGTATTGGCTGTGATCAGGGTACCAGAGTGCTGGAAATCAAATTCATGGTGGATTCCACTGTAATTAATTTTAAAGTGGAGTGTCACTGGCCTTACCTCTTGTTTCCCTTACAAGGACAATCCAGCCTCTGAGTACAGTAGTGGCCAAGGGCCAGCTTTGTCTCAGAGCACCTAACTGAGTGATGCACTGTCACTCTCCCAACTAGAGAAAAGGAGTTTCCTGAACTGTGTAGCTGAGAATTCAAAAACCTCAGCACCTTTCCAGTTGCTGAATATTTTGGCTAGACTGAAACTTATGGGAAGCAAAAATTTAAGAAAATATGGATAAAAATAAATTTTTAAATTGCACAAATGTTAGCAGGAGATGCAGTCCTATAACTGTACCACCTGCTGTTCTGTGTGTGTGTTTAGTAGATGGTGTCATTATATCTCAACACCTCTCCCTGTTTTTGTGGTTAATAAGATAAACTGCAGCCCAGGTGGTGTTAGGTGACCCTGTCGGGAAGGAATAGTCCCTGCTCTCTCCATCCTTTGCTTGCAGGGAAAGGAATGCTTGCTGCCTTTGCAGGGTCGGATTCCCTTTGAAGTTCTAATGTGATGTGAAGCCAGCAGATGTTAAGGACATAGGTGGGACCGCCAAAGCATCCTGTATGAATTTTTCATAGCTAGCTCACACAGCTCAGGTGCACACCAAAAAAGAATGGGCCAAACTTGCCTGAGAGTAGACATTTCCATTCTGAGGTCAAACCCAGGCAAGCTTTATAAACCTGTCAACCTTTTTTGGCTCCCACTTTGAAGATTTTACATTCAGTTAACTTTTCTGGATCAGATCTTTTGAATTGAATTCACGTGTATTGGAAGTTTCTTCTTGGAAAAAAACCTCTATCATTAGGAGATGAGAAGCATTCATACAGCAATTAATCAATCATTGCTTAAATGTCATTGTACATACATCAGACACATCATCAGTTCTGATTCAATATTCAAAATGTCCAGGGTAATGAGATTCTCTACCAAGGATGAAGCTTAGATTAAAAAAGAAATGACTGCCTCTCTCCTTCTTGCTTTTTTCACCTCTTTCATTTTAATGTCTGCTCTTCAAACAACATTTGCAGATAGGATATCATTCCGGCTGATCCTCCTCAGGCTGACAAACTCTTGCTTTTAATTCTGAAGACCACTTAACATTCTTTTGTCCTCTATAATGCTAATTTAACTGCAGACCTCATATATAGTTAGTAGTTGAAAGTGAATTCCTGAGAATAATGTCTTTGCACAGTCATCTAAGAGGGCTGCCCTGTAAAACATGACTTTTGTGTGCCTGGATAAAATTTTATTTTATATTCCTATGGCTTTCACATTAAAGGGAAAGAAGAGAGAAGGCATAAGCCTTTTAAATGGACCCTGATATACATTCATTGGATTCCTAATGCAGTAGGAACCATCTGAAATATAGTCTTACTCAAAACCAATCTGGAGATAGGATCCAATTTAGCAACTAAGCAACTTAGACTCAAGCTGCCGCTCTATAGGTTGCATGATACTTTAGTGCCACAACACTGATAGGAAGCCATGTGTTGGGCCTGTTTAGTAGGTATGTAAGGAAGTATGAGGCAAGAGTTGGCCCCAGGTTCCTGGAGTCACTAGAGACAAGGCCAGGCTCTGGTCTGCAGAGCAATTTTGTAGATTGCATATGAAAAATAAGCTCTGAGAATTGACTCATTGTAGGGTTACTTAGTTATTTGTAAGTCACAAGTATTAAGTATCATACAAAAGAGATAAAAGTGAATTAAACAATGTTAACTGGCTTCTTCATCATGAAAGTCTTATTCTCTTCTTAATTGGTATCTCCTGATACAGTAGGTACCATGTAATAGAAATCTTCATTTTGCTTGACCTTCCTGATAATGTTTAGGTTTTTAACCAAATTCTTATGACATATGGTTGCAGAAAGTCATGTTTCCTGGGAGCATGGCTC